GCCCAGCCATTTGGTTGAGATAAAGTCTAGCAGACTTATTTTGGTCTGTACTGTGATTGAATCTCTGCCTTCTGAGAGTAGCTAGGATTATAGGCCAGAGCCACTGTGCCAGCTTTGCTTTCTTTTTTTCTTTTCTTTTTCTTTTATTGTGAAAATACTGTACAGAGGGGTTACAATTACATGGGCAAGATAATGAGTACATTTCTTATCAAGCATTGTAGCCTCCTCCCTTGTTTCCCCTTCCCATCCATTCCCGATGGGGGCTTGCTGTGTGGTCCAGGTTGGGCTGGAGTTTGTGATGCTCTTGCATTACCATATTTGGCTTTTCTTTCCCCGCTTTTATTGTTTTTTTTTCTTTCTCTATTCTACTACATTGACTTATTTAAAAACTTAACTGCTTTGTTTTTTTTTTTGGTGACAGAAGGTAGTATTTCTCTTCTTTTTATCCCAAGCAGACCTTCTAAAAGGAGTCATCACAATGTAATGGGGGAAGGGAGTTGGTGAAGAGTACAGGGTTGAAATTTGTCAGAGCTCATGGGATACTCTTTCTCTGGGATTTCAAAAGGCAACATCTGTAGATAATGGAAATGTTTTTCTTAGGACCTGGTAAGAAGTTTCTTATCATCTTTAGATCATTCTTAGATCATGATATCATTAGATCATGATACCATCAGTGCCAAGAATCCTACAATTTAGAAAAGTACCTGAAGTGTCATAGATATTAGAAAAGAAAAACCTGTGTTAAGGCTGGGTGTGGTGACTAATGCCTGTGATCTCAACTACTCAGATGGTGGAGATGGGTAGGACAGCAGTTTGGGGCCAGTCCAGGCAAAACAGTTAGTGAGGACCCATCTCAACAAATATGCTGATCCAAGTGGTCATGTTTGTGATTCCCATGGTGATTCCCTAGGAGATATAAATAGGAAGATCAAAATTCTAGGCTAGCCTGGTCAAAATTTGAGACCCAATCTAAAAAATAACTTGCAAACCAAAAGGGCTTATGGGGTAGAGTGCTTGCCGAGTAAGCTGAAGGCCCTCAGTATAGCCCAAATCTGTGTTCAACACATCACAACTCTAATAGGCAAAGATGGACTAACAGGCTTCACATTCAGAACAATAAGAGACCACAGCAAGATGGTTCTAGGTTGGAGAATCTGGAATTCTTGCCATCCTGGCAGCAAGTAATGGATGGCATCAATTAAATCCTTCATCGGGTATGCTTTCGTGCCCCACTTTCAGGATGATATATATCTGCCTATAGATTTGGGTTGAAATTATGACAATCACTATAAAGAATTTTGCCTCTATGAAATATCCAAGTATTATTAATTGGTTAAAAATGCTAATAGCATATTTCTTCCCCAGTCTCTGGATAGTTGAATTCTCAAAAAAGGGCATATTAAGGACAGAGGTAATAAAACTAATCAGACTTAAGACAGTCTGATGACTTTTTCATTACATTTCTATCTAGAGTATGTATGGAAATCACAATGATATATTAGGTTTTGCACAATCTCCTCAGGAAGGGTGTTCTCAGAGCATATTTAGCATATATATATATATATATGTATACATTTGAGGAGTAAGAGTCTTCCTATAAAAACAAAAAGGAGTTGTGAATAAATAACTTCAGAAAACAGTTTTATCAGGTAAAAAAATAATTTTAAATAAGAGAAGAGAGTTTTACTACTAAAAATCCAGGCCTTGTTATGTGATAAGGGCATCTCTTGCTCAGATTCTGGATTTTCTGTTTATGTGATCTAGAATGAACTGTGGGTTTCTGGCTAGTTCTAGATGCTGTGGCTGTTCTGGATTCTGAAGTTGTTTAGCGTGCCCACTTTCTCCCTTGGTATCTGTCATGTAACTTGGTTTCTGTCTCATAACTGGCCTTCCGTGTGCTACCTTAGGCCAGGCTATGAGGATGTCTATCAAAGATACCACTCGCCAACACTGCGGGAAGAGTATGCTTATGGAAGCTATTACTACCCAGGACACCTGCAGCGGCTGCAGGAGGAGAGAGGTATGGAGTGATCCCCAGGAAGCCCTCGGGGAATGGGGATGTACGTGGGACTGACCGGCAGGCCATAGGACACTGGGGCCACAGAGCCTCTGTTTGGGCAGATAAGACTTCAGCAGTGTTTGCTTCTGTGTATTGAGAGGAGGGAGCATCCCTGGCTTGTGATGACGATGATACTACTGGTACTGGTTGCTGGTACTGTGGGGAGTTTGCACATCATTCTACTCCTCTTTGTAGTCAGGCTACTGTGACTGGTCGGGTAGCAGTGAAGTCAGATCTGTGGGCCTCTGGTGTGCTGGGCCATGATATGAGTCAGTCATGACTTTACCCTGACGGTGGCAGATACACGCCAATAGGAGTTATACCCCATGCGCATAGGGATAGGCATGTGCTAAGGACAGCCTCTGATCAACTAGCAAAGAGGAGTATGTACCATTGCTGCCGGCCCCCACCTGGCCATGCAGCTACGTGAAGCCGTGCTAATTAATTGTTTCATACAGGCATCTTGGGAACCTTCATTGCTAGATCTCACTCCTCCTCGATTGAACTTGATTGGGCAAAATAGGCTTTTAAACCTGCAGCGTTCTAGTACCTCAGCGTTACCACTCGCTAGAGTCTCTTCTGGAAGAATTTTCAGAAACAGCAAGTGACCTGTCTTTATTTTGTTTTCTCTGAGGGTGCAGTGCCAAGGCCAGGGAGTCCTTATACCTGGCGTGAAGATTATGGAAACCAAAAGCACCTCAGTGAGCATCATGGTGAAAACCCGCAGAGTCCATTTGGAGCAAATAATGAGACTCAGTTCCAGTAAGTGTGCAAGGAGAGGCCACTTGAGCAGAATTCCGTCACACTATGTTAGGCCATTGGTAGGGCATCTGGTGGTGATGACTCCCTTCCAATATCTGCAGCTTTCGCTCCTTGGCTAGAGCTCTACAGCCTGAGCCACGGCCCCTACCCCTTCCAGTAGCTTTTGTTCCAGACACAGGAACATGGGAGAAGCTGGGGATGGCCAAGGCCAACGGCTACCATTACCCTGGGAGGAGAGATTTCTTGTCACTTGAAAAGTTGCTCCCTGACCTCAACAGTCTGTGGCCACTGAGATCACTTGGGGTCCATTCCCGAGGAGGGCTATGTTGGCTTCTGAAACAAAGTTCAGAAGTTCTTACAGTTCAGTGCTGGAGTGCTTTTGCCCTGCTCACTCCTGGGCCCTGAGAATGGGCTGTTCCCCAGTCATAAGGCAGCACAAAGAACAAGACTTTGCCTAAGCCTCTGTCCTTCCTGAGGCCAATTGCCTTGGACCCACTAGCCCAGGTCCAGGATGGCAGGCTGCAGAGAGCAGCCCCACTCTGCAGGGCCTGATACCACTTCCAGTAACGGTGCTTGAAACCCCAGGGATCCTGTTTTTCTGGGATGAATACACTGAGATGGGGAATGGAGGAGAATGCTTTTCCCCTGTGGTACCTGAGCTGACCTAGCAGCCAGCCTATACTTAGAGTCAGGACAGCCTCTAGCAGGGAGCACTTCTGCCTGGCTGGTTTGCTTAGGACCTGTCTCACTGCTGCTGTCATTTTGCTGCAGGTCTCTCAGCCGGAACCCTTATAAAGACAGCCCCACTTCCAGCTCTGGACAGGAGCAGCCTGGGGACCTGAGGAATAAGGTAACCTAAAGTGACATGGGGATGGAGGCCTGTGGCCAGGCATCAAGCCTACCTTGTCGTCAGTGCAGAACTAGGGGAGAGGGAGTCTCCAAGCAGGGTCCTAGTCCTCTCCGCTCTCTGAGCAGAGGGTCCATTGGGGCCTCCTTTTCGGCCTTCATGCTTCAGTCTTCTAGGACTGAGGCTCTGATTTGATCCATTTCTGTAAAACTGGCAGGATCCCAGTCACTCCCTGAAAAGAGTCTGCCACTGAGTATTAGGGGTTGGGGACCCCAAGGCACTAGTAATTTGGTTTACCTAGGAAATGGGAAGCTGCTAGAATATTTTATTGTGGCTTTGAAAAGCAGGACTTGACAGCTTTCCTGACTCTAACCACCTCTTTAACATCTTAGTGTGTGTTCCACCTGGGCCACAGAGCAAAGCTCTTTTTTTTTAAATCTTAAGTTTTGGAACAAGTTAAACAATTTCATGGGAAAGTTGCAAAAGTATTATTAGAGATGAGCTTCTCATTTTTTGGCAAGCTTGGATTAATTTTCTCTCCCTGATTAGCTTGGTATGACTTTTGTGGACTGTTTCTCTGTATACTTAAGAGCTTAACCGGTGGGACACATATTATTATGCTTAATTTAATAATCCCCCAAAAGGCAACCACCCTCAGGTATACAGCACTTTATGATATACAAAGTAAAAAGATTAAAAAAATTAACTCCATTTTTATTAAGAGGGGTTTCAATTCTAGATGCCAGATTATGAGTGCAATACATCTTGATCAGTGTCTCCCTTTCCTTGTTTGCCTCTATCTATCACCATCCCATCCCTATGCAAAAAGAACTTTTGAATCCAGTATTTTACTCATATCCCCACAGAATGTAAGTTCCATGAATGCCTTGTATACCTGGCTTCCCCGGGAAGGTACAACATCTGGAGTAGTTTGTTGGTTTGTTTTTTGTTGGTCATGGGGCCTGGGTGCTGTCCCTCAGCTCTTCAGCTCTAGGCTAGCGCTCTACCACTTAAGTCACAGTGCCATTTCCAGCTTTTTCTGCTTATGTGTTGCTGAGGAATCAAACCTAGGACCTCGTGCATGCAAGGCAAGCACTCTATCATTGAGCCATCTTCCCAGCTCACATTTGGAATAGTTAAGGTAGTTATTAAATACTATTAAAGTAAGCAAGTCAGATATGCTTACCCATATTACCCAGGAGAGCACTGAGCCTGGACAGCTCAAGTCATTTGTTGAGGGTCACAGGGTATAAGAACTCAAAACTGAGGTTTAAATTCAAGGTCTCTTACATTTAGGGCCTGCTTTCTTTGCACTGGGCTGCACTGGGCTGTAATGCACTCTTTAACAAACACCTGCTCACTGAATGCTTTGGTCTCTTTTCAGTTCATCAGCATTGCACACATAAATGAAACTGACATGCTGAACTGAGACTTCTTTGTACAACTACTTAAAGATAATTAAGAAAAATAGCTGAGCATTGGTGGCTCATGCCTATGATCCTAGCTACTCAGGAGGCTGAGATCTGAGGATCGCGGTTCAAAGCCAGCCCAGGCAGGACACTCACCTCCAATTAACCACAAAAAGCCAGAAGTGGAGCTGTGGCTCAAGTGGTAGAGCGTGAGCCTGAGCAAAAAAAAGCTCAGGGACAGTGCCCAGGCCCAGAGTTCAAGCCCCAGGATTGGGAGAAAAAAATAATTAAGAAATCATCTATGCCTTCATTCACTGTATTGATCGGAAAGTTTGAACTTCGTTTCTTTGAAGGACTCCTTGTGAAGACTGGTTCCCAGAAGCACTTCCCCATGTCTTTTCACGGCTTTTAACTTTCAGCCATCTGAAGAGTCCAACCTCCTCCAGCAGCACGAGGCTGGACTCAGCTCCAGCAGCTATGAGCTCAGTCAGTACATGGCAGATGTTCCTGAGCACAGCGATCCCATGGCTTCATCAGTTTGGCGTCCAATCCAGGAGGGTGGGTATTAAAGTGACCATGGGAGTCGGATGAGTCTGATGAGGAAAGGTGGTGAGAAGTCTCTTGGCAAGTCACCTTTCCCTTGCAGTTCCAAGAACGGGTCATTGTTGGCCCATTGGCTTATGTCGGTCTCTTAGGTGGAGAAGCCAACCTTGGCTCCATTTCTTTTTCTTTCTTTCTTTCTTTCTTTCTTTCTTTCTTTCTTTCTTTCTTTCTTTCTTTCTTTCTTTCTTTCTTTCTTTCTTTCTTTCTTTCTTTCTCTCTTTCTCTCTTTCTTTCTTTCTTTTTCTCTCTCTTTCTCTTTCCTTCCTTCCTTGCTTTCTCTTTCTCTCTCTTTCTTTTCTTTCTCTTTTTTCTTGCAAAGGCTATTACATAATAACTGCTCTTTCAATGGAATATTACTAGCTATCCTCAAGCTGGGCAAGGAAGCCCTCAGGGGTGCTGTTAAGTAACAGGTGAAGAAAGCAGAGATCAGAGAGAATTGCATAAAGCAGAAGCTGGACACAGTGCATCATTCCACTGGCAGTAAGAAACTTGCCCTGGATACACAAGCTCTGTGAGCCAGACTCTTCTGTCCTATTATTACTGAGCATCTGGGCCCAGTGCTTTGTCACTTGCATGAAATGATCAAATCCTTGCCTTGCCATAGTTTCAGACGCTTAAATCAGACTGCAGCATGAAGCATGGAGCATGGCTTCTTCTAGTTATGCAGACCACTTTGAATCTTATTTTGGTTCCAGGTGGGATTTGGATAGAAACATGTCTGTGGCTTTTTTTTTTTTTTGGTGGGGATGGGGTGTGGGGAGGCAGCAAGTACTGGGTTTTGAACTCAGGGCCTTAACACTTGCTAGGCAGAAGCTCTCTAATACCAAGCTATGTCATGCCATGCCTCCAGTATATTTCTAAACTAAAGAAAAGGAGTGAAGCGGGGCACTTGTGGCTCATGCCTATCATCCTAGCTACCCAGGAGGCTAAGATCTGAGGATAGCAGTTCAAAGCCAGCCTGGACAGAAAAGTCCCAGTGAGACTTTTATTTTCAATTAACCACTCAAAAACCAGAAGTGGAGCTGTGGCTCAAAGTGGTAGAGTGCTAGCTTTGAGCAAAAGAGCTCAGGGACAGTGCCCACGCCCTGAGTGAGTTCAAGCCCTGCAACTGACCAAAAAGAAAAAGAGTGAAAGCAGCGCTAACGATGTCGATCTGTATTTGTTGGTTAGGGGACATCTCAGCAGCCAAGCCCAAGGCACCCTTGAAGTTCTACGTCCCTCATGTGTCTGTGAGTTTTGGGCCAGGAGGCCAGCTGGTATGTGTGTGTCCCAACTCTCCCCTGGACGGGCAAACGGCCATCGTTGAACTGCATAGCATGGAGGTAATCAAGATTCTGTGCCCCTGGGATGCTGCACACTGCTTGCTCAATTGCACAGGCTTTGTCTGCTTCATTTGGTTTGAACTTGGGCATCTCCAAGAGAGGTCACTTTGGTGGGGAGATGGCCATATACCCTCTCAGGATGTGGTGTAGGAATGGGTTTTGTCTCTTGAAAGCAATGTTTCTAGACATTTCCCTGGAATGCTAGTAGTTCATCTTCAACATGCTAACTTACATCCATACTCTTGTTTTTGCTACAAGGCATGATGCCAGGCCCTAAGATCACAGCCTTGCGATTGAACACTGGATCTGATGGACAAAGTGGGTAAAGGAGTTTTGAAGATCGAATTTGATTTTCTCTTCCAGGTTATTCTTAATGATTCTGAGGACCAGGAGGAGATGAGAAGTTTCTCAGGACCCCTGATCAGGTAGAGTACTGTAAGGGCTGTGAGTAAAGACTTACGGAATCTAGGAAATCCTCTCATCCAGCTGTGGGTTTCCTTGGAAAAAAATATGTATCCTAGGTGGAATATCAATTCTCTGTGCCACTAAGAAGGAACAGATGTGGCCTGAGCCATTTTGATCAGTCATCTGATAGGAGAAGAAAGGTTGGCTTAACCATTTGGAAATCTAAAAATCAACTGCATTTTGGAGATATTAATGTTTTAGTGTTCCATGTACTTGGCAAATAATAGTAGAAATTTGGAGCATGCCCTTGGAAATCATCAAAAATAGATAATAATGGGAAATGTTCTTTCAAGGAGCTTTTTTTTAAAAATGAGAACTTCAGTTGTTTTCTGGACCATGTGCAAGTCTGCCCTCTGCAGGAATTAACTGGAACTGCTTTCACATTTTCAGTCGTTTCTGATGACTACTTAGGGCACAATTTTGGTTTTAGAGAATCCTGACTGTGTCAGAGGACCTGTGTTGTAGGCCTAGGCATTTACAAACTAGTAGTACCACTAGTTAGTCCTCTATGAGTCTGTCTTAGTTTTCTACCTTAACGCCCTCTCTGCCTACTGCAGGTGGTGACTATAAAACTCAAGTGAGATTATGCATGTGAAAACTCATTACAATATAAACGCACCCTCCAAGAAAATGCACAGAGTGTATTTGACAGCTTCTTCAAGTTTATATGAAGGTGAACTCTATGTCTTAAGTACAAGTATGCACGAGAACAGTATTTTGCCCTAACTTGGCTTTGATTTTGAAGAGTCTTGGTCAAATAATAATGCCCAATGTATGCCATAAAACTTGCTTTTTTTTTTTTTTAAATAAGAAGGTAGTTTCTTTTACCATCTATCTTTGGAAAGCGGAATAAAGCTGAGACTCAGGGGAGAGAAGAAATGCCTAAAGTGAGAAATGACAGACCAGGTTTATCTGATCATTCTTACCTTCCATTCTGTGCCTTCACTTCAGGTTTCTGGGCCTCAGCTTCTCACCTGTGATATGGAGAATCTGTGTACCCTTTGGCCACAGACTTATCCAGTCCTGAATTATTAGGCTTCCGTCTCACTCCTAGCCTGGCCAGGGTCTGCGGCCTGTCAGGAGAAACCTGGGACCTGGAGAAGGGGAAGTGTCTGTCTGCTCATCCTATGCTTCCTGAAATCTCTCCCTAGGGAAGATGTACACAAGGTGGACATCATGACCTTTTGCCAGCACAAAGCAGCTCAGAGCCACAAATCCGAGACACCACAGAGCCGAGACTCCGCTCTACTGTGGCAACTGCTGGTTCTCCTTTGTCGCCAGAATGGGGTGAGTTACTGCTTCCATGGGGAGACTGGGGTGAAGTTTAAGTCTTCATGGGCTGGACAAGAATTGGTTTATGACATAATTATGGAAAGAACTACTAAAGATGCACTATTTTGCCCCTAGGAAAAACATTGCTCAAATGTCAATACTGATTTTCTTTTTTATTTTTGGGTCCGGTTATGGAACCTGCACTCTGGGCCTGGGCGCTGTCCCTCAGCTCTTCAGCTCAAGGCTAGCGCCTACCACTTGAGCCACAGTGCCACTTCCAGCTTTTTTCTTTTTGCTTATGTGGTGCTGAGGAATCGAACCCAGGGCCTCAGGCATGCAAGGCAAGCACTCTACCACTGAGCCACCTTCCCAGCCCCTCAATACTGATTTTCTAATGCAAACCTTCCCTCTGATGGTCTTGTCTCTGGGTAGAGATTGTTCAACAGTCTGATTGTTGCACCGTTTGGCCACTATGCCAACCAGACAAGTGATCATGATAGTGAAGGTGTTTGTAATACAGTATCCAGGAAATGGGCGCTTGAGTTTGCAGGCCCAGCTTCCTTATGAAGGAGGGGGGACACCCTGGTGCCTTCCTTTCTGCTTGGGCTGCCAGGGTGGGGACAGCGGGAATTCTCCTGCAGAATGATGCTTGTTGTCTTGCAGTCCATGGTGGGGTCTGACATTGCTGAGCTACTGATGCAAGACTGCAAGAAGCTGGAGAAATACAAGAGGCAGGCCCCAGTGGCCAACCTCATTAACCTGACCGACGAGGACTGGCCCGTGATGAACTCCGGGAACCGCAATCTGCTCACTGGGGAGATCCCCCCCACTGTGGAGACGCCCGCTCAGGTCGTGGAGAAGTTCACTAAACTGCTCTACTATGGAAGGAAGAAGGCAAGTAGCCCTTCTCCCTGGCTTGCTTTCCTCATGTAACCACCAGCCCCCACCAACTCTCCTCCAATCATGTCAATCATACAATTTGAGAACGTGTGAGAAGTTCAGAAAGCTAAAGTGAAGAGAATGAAAATACCACTGTGCTTTAGCCACCAATGACTGCACCTGTTAACATTAGAGGCATTGACTTCTAGCGTCTTCCTATGGGTGTATTAAAAATCAGTTTAGATTACATAATTATGCCGCTAGATGTATTAGCTGGGCATGGTGGCACATGCCTATAATCCTAGCACTTGGGAGTCTGAGCCAGGAGGATCACAAGATCCTGCCTCAAAATGAGCAAATAATCTGTTCCCCAACAAATATAAATCATTTTTTTTCATTTTGTTTCATTTAAGGCTATTTGACGAGATTCTTTTTTTGGGGGGGGAGGGTCCAGTCATGGGGCCTGAACTCTGGGCCTGGGCGCTGTCCCTCAGCTCGTCAGCTCAAGGCTAGTGCTCTACCACTTGAGCCACAGCGCCACTCCCGGCTTTTTTCTTTTTGCTTATGTGGTGCTGAGGAATCGAGCCCAGGGCCTCAGGCATGCAAGGCAAGCGCTCTACCACTGAGCCACCTTCCCAGCCCCTTGATGAGATTCTTAATGGCAAGCTTTGAACCAGGAGCCTAAGGCTCAGCCTCCTGAATAGTTTAGGATTATAAGCATGGCCCAACTTTCAAACATTTTGGTGCCAATCTGAGAAGTGAAAAGGTAGAATTTAACGTCGTTATTTGCCTTTCTGTTATTGTGAATGCAGTTGGATAGTTTTAATCTGTGAACTTTGTTTTGTGGCACTGGGATTTGAACTCAGTTTACGCTTACCAGGCAGGAGCTCTACCACTTGAGGTGTGCCTCCAGACCTTTTTGATTTAATTATTTTTGGGATAGGGTTTTGCTTCCCCCCAGCTTGGCAGTACTGTGATCTTTTGTTTTGCTTCCTAAGAACCTGGAGTGATAGGAATATACCATGACACCAGTATTTTATTGGTTGAGATGGTGTTTCAGGAACTTTTTGCTTATGTTGGCCTCAAACCCAGTGCTTCTCAAGAAGCCACCACATCTGGCTTATTTTTTGTCATGAAATTTCTATCTTTTTTTGTTGATTCTTTTATTCTTGCCTGTTGATGTGGAGTTTTACATATTTTTAAAACTTTTAGTTCAGAAATCACATTTTGGACTCATATGTATGTAGACTTTTACATAAAAATTTTGCTTATTGAAGTAAGTTGTGACTATTCTATATTTAAATATTTAATATCAGGTTTTTGTATAAAGTGTGTGTGTGTGTGTGTGTGTTACTGGGGATTAAATTTGAGGGAATGCACTTGCTTGGCAGGCCCTCTACCACTTGACCCCATGATAGCCCAATCCTATGGTATTATCTTCTTTTTTCTTTCTTGCTTTTCTTGTAGCCTTAGGTTTGAACTTGAGCCATTGCTCTTATTGGACTATCATTTCACCATTTGAATCATACATCTAACCCCTCCTTTGTTTGCTGGTTATTTTTTTTTAAAAGAATGAGAATGTTATTTTTGTCTTACATTTCTAAAAAGTCAAGTAAATAGGTAAAAGAATAGTTTAAACAATTCTTTACCAACAACATACCAGTATATATTAGACAATAATAACATCACAGTTTAAGCTAATCACTTGAGTCTAAGAAGCATTAGCAGTCTACATATGAGACTGGTTATTTTTTAAATTATCTTTAGTTGTACAAAAGAGTTGCCATTCAACTATGTTTTTATGAATACATTGCATCTTGATCAGTGTCATTAACACTTCCAACATTCTCTCCCCTCCCTCCCCTCCCCATCCCTTCCCTCACCCTTTTTAATTTATTAGGGCATACATTGACTTTGACTGCATTTCTCTCTTTTTACCTCTTCGTTCATCTACCCCTTTCCCTTGGCCCCATCCCACCTCTTTTGCTTCTTGGTGTTTATTTCATTGAACTTTAACTACCTATTTAAGAAATTACACTATTTGAGTTCTCCCTCGAATCTACCGTATTTTAGTTAATTTATTTGTATGCACTTGCATACCACCCAATGCATTTACTTATAAGTTTATTAGCTAAATCTAACATCTACATATAAGAGAAAGCATGCATCCATTGTCTGGGGACCTGACTTACTTTACATAAAATTTTCAGATCTTTCCATTTCTTTACAAATGGTACAATATTACTCTTTTAAATGGATGAGTAAAATTCCATGGCATGTACTATCATGTTTTCTTGATCCATTTGCCCATTGAGGGGCATGCTGGCTGGCTATTTTCGAGATTGATTCTTGTGACCTTTTCTGCCTTGGCTGGCCTTAAGCTACAATCCTTCTGCTCTTAGCCTCCTCAGTAGTTAGGATTATAGACAAAAGCCATTGCTCAGCTTCTACTTTGAAGTTCCTGAACCCAGTGGCACATGCAGAGACAAATGAATTACGAACTCTTGTTTTAATGACGATAAATAATGACCACAACAACAATAACAACAAAGGAAGGGAAGGGTTTTCAAAATGGCTACTTCTTCCTTCTAGGCACTTGACATCTTTCATGCATTATCTCATTTATCACCATAGAAACCGTCAGTCAGGTTCTGTTGTTGTTCTGTGTATTTACAGGCTAGGGAAGTTAGCGAGGGATAGAACCAGGGCTTAGGTCTGGGCAACCTGACCCTGATTCTAGGCTTCTAACCTTTTCCTAACACCCTATTTCACAATAAGCCCAAAGGCAGTAAGAGAGGGTTCAGAACGATTAAAGAGAAATGGGATATCACAATATCTTTTAAACTTTTATTCTTACGTGACTGGGTCTTATTTTTTGGCATTATATGATATTGATAATCATGATACACGTTCTTAATTTCTTTATTTATTCTTCAGTTATCTTTTGGAGTAATCTGATGATTCCCAGCTCAGCATTAGTAACTCTTATTACAAAATACTGATTATAAAGATAAGGACTAAAGGCTCAAGTCTATAATCCTAGCTACTCAGAAGGCTGAGATCAGAGAATCATGGTTTGAAGCTAGACCAAGCAGGAAAGTTAATTGAATAACTGCAGTTGAAGAGTAACTTCAATGAACCAGCAAAAAGTTGAACACGGGCCCTAAGCAAAAAATTTAAGAGACAGCGCCCAGGCCTTGAGTTTAATCCCTGGTCACTGTACCAGAATACACACAAAACACTGACTACAAAACAGTTAAAACCTTCAAAAAACAGCAGCCCTAATGACACCTCTTACTTGCCATGTATCAGAGACTGAATTCCCTAACAGAACATTTACATTTATGTGTGAGAGAGTTCATCTGCTCTCTCTCTCTCTCTTTAATAAGAATACATGGTGATATATTGGGATTAATCAAAGATCGTGTTTCTTAGAGGTGAAATTACTTCATTAGAAACTTTCTGTCTCCAAATCACATTTTTGTGCACCCAGGAAATTATTAATATCAGTTCAAAATCTCACATGTCAGTTGAATAAAAAGGTGAGTGTGTGTATAGGTGCTTTAAAGTTTTCAGCTCCGGCTCATCTTACCCAATTAGCGGTGCTATGAATTTGACATACAAGGGCATTTGATAAATTAACAAGCAATTATTTTTAGCATTGGGTGGCAGGTGGGTCCCTACGTAAATTGGCTCAAATGCAATAGCAGTCTATCAGTATTCACATAGGCGTTCATGAATGGCCCTGTTGGGCAACATTTCTCCACATAGACAGAATGGGGGGCTCAACCATCTTCAGCTAAGCTTCCCCAGAGTCCCTTCCTTCCATTCCAGACACCTGCTGGGGGGGGGGTCACCACGTGGAGGTGATTTTATGGGCTACACCTGGAAGTAGCACCTGGCATTTCTGTGGCCAAGACTCAGCCAAACTCAGAGCCAGGGAGGCAACAAACATGGCCCAGTGCTTCACTCAGGAAGGAAAGCAGGGATTTTGGAGAGCAGCCATCAGTTTCTGCCCAGCATTGGAAAAGGCGCTATTCCTTAGTCAGACCTCAGGAATACCCCTGTTCTACTCCTATTTTGGGACTCAGTCCTTGGGGTGAAATGTTTTTCTCGTGCGTGGTACCTAGCTTCTTTACAAGTATTTTGTTAACTTGGGCTGAATCTATGAGCCTGTCTGGGGGGACTACATTTGAAGGGAAGCTACTGAAATGGCTGCAGAAGTAGACACACTGAGAAAAGCACGCTGCGCTGATTCATTCCTGAGACTCCGGGTCTTTCCCCGGAGACCCAGCCCTTGCTGCTCAGCCCAGGTGAGGACTTGTTTTGGTGGAGGGAGGCAGGGAAGGCATTGTTGAACAGGATGTTTTGGTTTTCAGGAGGCCTTGGAGTGGGCTATGAAGAACCACTTGTGGGGTCATGCTTTGTTCCTATCCAGCAAGATGGACCCACGGACCTACAACTGGGTCATGAGTGGGTAAGTCCAGCTTATAAAAGGGACTAAGGAAAAGAGAATTCTCCCCTCCAAAGGTGGTGAGGAGGTAGTGAGGGAAAAGAGAAAAATGCATCCCTCCTTTCCAGACAAGGTCTCGTTATGTAGCTTAGACTGGCCGAGAACTCATTAGCAGATTGTCCTCAAACTTGTGATCTTCTAGCCTCAGCCTCCTGAGTGCTTAGATTACAGGTATGTGCTACTATGCCCTGTTTCTCCAGATTCTTATAACTTAGATACATGGATTCTGTCTATCCACTAAGTGGAATGAAACATTTCAGTAATATTTTGTAGGGCCAGACTTGCTAACAATTAAATACGTTCTGCCAGGCAGTAATCTGCTCTGGTTCTATTGATGAGGGGAGTAAGTGATCACCTAAGTTTCACTGCTAGAACCTAAGGAGTAAGTGTGCAGGGCTTAGTCTTGCAGTGGGTAAGGAGGGGTGGGCAGGGATATGGGATAGCGCGATTGTGAGTTGTGGTGGGAAGAGGCTGTGCTGGGCCTATGGGAATCTGGAGATGGGTTTCTGTCTGAGTCTATCCTTCGGGCTCCAGCTAGCGCTCCGGGTGATAGGGATGAGGAGGGGGGCGGGGCAAATATCAGGGGCAGGCTCGAGTCAGGTGAGAGAGAGGTGTTACCTTTATGGGTTTCTCTTCAGGACAGTGAGGGTACCCTTGCAGATTATGTAGACTCAAATCGGCCTGTTGGGCAGAGAGTTGGTTGAAATGATGGAGACCCATGGCCCTCGTGGCTGCCCCACTGCCTAGGAGCCAGTCTCTATGACTCTGACTTCCAGTCTTCCTGGGGATGAGTACTTCTATACAGCACTTTATTGTACCCAGTGTCTGGCATGGCAGGGAGTACTGTCGTCTATTATGCTCAGTGCTCGGAGTTCCTGTGGCAAGGATGTAAAAGATGGTGTTTCGAGGGACCATTTTCCTCTGGGTTTTGAAAAGGAACAGCCCACATACCCAGGCTGTAACATCTATCTCTGCTATAGAGTTTTGCCTTGGGCCATTGATTTTTGATGGGGCCCAGTGAATTGTGAAAAATATCTCTTACTGAGTACGCTTAAATCTCAAATCAGCTTTAGAGCTTATTATATCCTTGTTAAGCATATCCCATGGTTTGTCATCAGTAGGATTACTTCTGGTCCCTGTTCCACGCCTCTTTGGTCATTGAAAATGGCTATTTAGTGCGTGCAAGTCAAAGCTCTACAGACTCAAGCTTGTGATGAGGCAGAAAAATGGTACCGAGAGCTGTGGGTTTGGTGTGGAGGAGGAACTGAGGGTGGCTGAGAAGAAGGGACCCAGGAAGAGCTTCCAGGTAAACTGCTGGACTCTCTGGGGACACATGAGATGTGGGTGTTCATCTTGTTGACAGGAAGGTAAATAAACATGTTTACTCAAGAGTCAGGGCATCAGGGCTGGGCCTGGGGTCCCCGTTACTTAGGAGGTGAAGATAGGAGGATTGCAATCCAAGGCCAGCTTGGGCAAAAGTAAGAGACCTGTCTGGAAAAATCAACCTAAACACATAAAAGACTTGGACATGGCTCAACTAGTAAAGACCCCCCCAAATTCAATTCCCAGTTCGAGCATTAGGGAAAAAGTACAGAGAACATATCTCTAAACTTTGAGGTCTACTTGGATATGTCTGATGAAATGAAGATGCAGATGACCTTTCTGAAAAGGAGGCTATGAAAGAAATGCATAAAAAACAGAGTTGCTCAAGCAAAAGAAGCCGCTGAAATCAAGCTGAACTGAGCAAGGCCTTGTATGCCGGCAGTGGGACAAGGCTGCTGTGTTTGATTCCCACCAACTGTCCTTTCTCTCTGCAGATTCACCACCACGCTAGCGCTCAATGATCCCCTGCAGACCCTCTTCCAGCTCATGTCTGGAAGGATCCCACAAGCAGCTACGGTATGCCACAGTACCCTGTGTGACAGAATTCCTACCACACCCTGGCATCCGACAAGTTGGAGGTGGGAGGGGCTACTGACAAATGAAGTGATGGCTTTCCAGGTGAAATCTGAATAATTGTTTGCTCATTTCTTGTACCTGGTCCCACGGTAAGGTCTATTTATTTATTCTAATTTTTGCACCTGTGCAGGGGTTGAACTCAGGGCCTGGGCAATGTCCCTTAGCTTTTTCACCCAAGGCTCGGACTTGCTTGAGCCACAGCTCCACTTCTAGCTTTTGGGTGATAACTGGAGATAAGGATCTTCTGGACTTTTCTGCCAGGCTGACTTCAAACCACAATCCTCAGATCTCAGACTCCTGAGTAGCTAGGATGACAGATTTGAGCCACCTGCCCCTGGCTGAGTATTGTGATGTGTATTACTTCATGTGATACCTAGAGACGGAAGTTCTTATGCCTGTTTTGTAGATATGGAAATTGGTGCAAAGGTGCAAAATGGCAGTGAAGAGTAGGGTCATGGTTGGTCCAGGTCTGTTTGACTGTAAATACCTTGTTTTTCCACACAAATACCACAGTTGTCTGCTTTGCTATAAACAGTAATAGCCTATTGTTCTACAGGCTATTCGCAGCAGGTTTCCATTTATGTACGTTTAGTAGCTTAGGGTTCATGAAAATGTTCAGTTATATCTCAGTATTTTCTTATGCAATTATTTTAGTTTTATTTCAGGAATTCCATGTGTGTGTGTGTGTGTGTGTGTGTGTGTGTGTGTGTGTGTGTGTGTGTATAAAACATTAAAGATACACATGTGAATTTCATATATATATGTAATTTTCTCTTTAGTTAAAAATATCTTCTCTTTTTCTGTCTTTTTCCTCCTTCCATCCTCCTCTCCTTTTTCTCTTTGCTTCCTTACTTCTTTCCTTTCTTTTCTTCTCTCTTTCTTTTCCCTCCTTCCCCTTCTCAATTTCCCTCCTTCCCTCCCTCCCTCCCTCCTTCCTTCCTTCCTTCCTTCCTTCCTTCCTTCCTTCCTTCCTTCCTTCCTTCCTTCCTTCCTTCCTTCCTTCCTTTCTTTTCTTCTCTCTTTCTTTTCCCTCCTTCCCCTTCTCAATTTCCTTCCTTCCTTCCTTCCCTCCTTCCTCCCTTCCCCTTCCCTCCCTCCCTTCCTTCCTTCCTCCCTTCCTTCCTTCCTTCATTCCCTCCTTTTGCTTTTGTGTTTGTTCCATTTTTGTCTCTTTCCTAGAGTTTTTCTCCCTTTCTGTTTTGAGCTCTTCAGCCCACCTTGATTTCCTCCTGTTGCTCACTGGCTCTCTTTCTCATTTACTGAAAATAAACTTCACACTTTTTCTCTTTCTTTTTTGATGTTCTTATGGCCTGTGACTTATTCTAAGAAAAAGGAAAGGGAAATGATGGCTTTGGTGCCGTCACTAAGCCAAGGGGCTCTTTTGGCCGTGGAATGTGCCGCACAGTTCAGCTGGATGGAAATGTCAGCTCTGCAATGAAACTGCATCATGTCACAGAACAGCCGGTGGAGACAATGATAAAATTAGCCCATGGTCCACTGGGTCACACCAAAAAGGCCGAGTTAGCTCCTTTCTCCCACTTTGAGGTGAGAAACCCGAGAAGCTAGACGTGTTGTGCCAAGGTGACATGTGATGTTAGCGTGCGGGAGCCTGGCAGCCCCTCACCTCGGACAAAAGGCTCCAGCTCACCCCGTGACCCAGCGGGAATAGCATGGCCCCTGCACACAGGCATGGGACTCATCACAGCCGCAGCTGGTCTTTGCGCCTCAGCGCTGTGTGAACTTGACTTGGTTACTTTCATCTCCCAGAGCCTTAGTTCTGCATCTGTGTAGGGTTACTGTGAAAATAAGAGAACATTCTAGAACCCATCAACCGCTGTGCTTGGTGCATTGCTTTATGGTGATTTCAAACAGAAAATCATCCAAGGAAGGAGACAGGAAGATTACTTCCAAGATTACCATTTTTATTTTAAGACAAGGGATTCTCTTCTGTCTTCCTGGCTTGCTAAAGAGTCCACAGGAAGAGGTCTGCCTTACATATTAAAGCAATGTTTGAGCTTGGCACTGTGATTAGTGGCAGAAGGACTTAACCCAGAGTATGGTTCATGGGCTGAACTTCGATGATCAATGAGAACTGTTGTTATTATTGTGATTTATTATCACTACCTCATGATCTTTTCATCACTTCTATTGCATTACTCAAATATACAAGGAATAACTGTAGCATGGAATTGGGTAGAGCATCTATTTCCTGGGATAATTATAGACACCAAACAATTACAAATAGTTTTGACCTTCAAATCTTAGCTATAATTATCTGCATCACTCTTCTATGGGATACGTTGAAGTTAGATTGTTGGTTTGCCTATCACCTCTTTCTTCTGCTTATCCTATTCTGTGTGTGTGTGTGTGTGCATGCGCCCACACATGTATATACCCATGCACACATGCATACCTATTATGGAATTTGTAAAGTATATAGTATTGTGCTGTTCACGTTACATGATTTATTTTTGTTATTCACAGTAGCCTTGTTAGGTAGGAATTATGATCTCCATCTTAGAAATGAGGAAACAAAGATTCAAGAAAGATTAGAAAACTGGCTCAAGGCCACACAGGAAGTATGAGGATTTGCGTGTGTTGCGCATGTGACATGGTTGCTTGTTCACTGAGGGGAAGGCTGCCCCAGGGTGTGAGTTCATAGGGCAGCCCCGTTTATGTGGGGCTTCTTCATAGTTCCCTGACTGCTGACTCTCTCCTGCTCCCTGATGGATCCAGAGCCTCTTTATTGTCCCCAGAGGTAAGGCAAGAAGGAAATGCAGATTGAATGCAGATTGAATCCTGGTGGGGTGATTCTGTTTGATTTTCGTTATTCCTAAGTGGTCATAGGAAGTAGACCTTATGGGGTTGTTTTATAAGATGAGGTGTGAAAGTTCTTTGGAAATTCAGAAAATATTAACCATTCATTAAGACATTAGATGCCTGAACACTAAAACGTGGTGATGGATTAATGTAGTCTCATCTATTTGTGAGACAAGCATGTTTGCTCTTCCTTCACTCAAAAACCAGAAGTTATTTTGGGTCTCTAGCTATTTTGAGTGAAGGCACTGGGAAAAAAATTAAGTCCTCTAATGTTCTTTTGTGTGCGTCTCCCAGTATCCACGTATGTGTGTATGTATACATGTATGCACATATGTATGTATGCATGCATGGATGTATGTGCTTGCCTGTCTGTCCTTCTAGGAGCTTTACTACCTTCAAGTTTTTGAGAGAGGGCCATGCTATGTTGTCCAGGCTGGTCTGACACTCATGGTCCTTATACTTCAGCTTCCCAAATGATGGGATGACAGCCATGTAGCACTATGCTAACCTGCATCTTCCTCTTCTACTATAGACTTTTTTGTTGGTTGTGGGGCCTGAACTCTGGGCCTGGGTGCTGTCCCTCAGCTCTTCAGCTCAAGGCTAGCACTCTACCACTTGAGCCACAGTGCCATTTCTAGCTTTTTCTGCTTATTTGGTGCTGAGGAATCGAACCCAGGGCTTCATGCATGCAAGGCAAGCACTCTACCACTGAGCCACCTTCCCAGCCCACCTGCCCCTTCTTTAAAAAGACATTCTAAATCTGTGCATAGCAGCACCGCAGGCAGCATGGTCAGCCCTCCCTGAACTCCTCTAACCAAACAACTGTGACTGCATTCTTCTTTACTTACATTTTGGGAAGTGTGAAACAACTCTGTAACTTTTCATTATTTTTTCTGCTATTTTTTTCAGTGTTGTGGGGACAGGCAGTGGGGAGACTGGAGGCCGCACTTGGCTGTGATTCTGTCAAATCAAGCTGGAGACCTGGAGCTGTATCAGAGAGCGATTGTCACCATGGGGGACACATTGGGTAAGCAGAAACCCACAGGGAATCTCTAAGACAGCTATAAACACTTGTCTTTAGGACCTTAGATTCCGGGAGAGTTTGGGTCTGTGCTCCAGTCATTTCCTAGGACCTAGGAGACTCCATGCTTTGAGGTTAGAAATGCCAGGGAAGGAAGAGGCCCTTCTGGAACTGACTTCCCAGAATTCCTGCTGGTAAGACCCAGTGCTCTGCAGTTTCTGCTCAGCAGTTGATCTTCCAGCCTTGGAAAGGAAAGCCTTGTACAGGAAATTACACAGGTGACATCTCACCTCCTGTGGCCGTTAATACTTCAGTGACCTGGCTTAGTCAGATAGGAAATGTTCTTTTTGCCTGACCGGAATCATTCTGTAGCCTTTATTTCTAGCATCTCTCTGTGAACATGGCCTACATAAGCACTTAGGGGCCATTGAGTATTCTTGATCAGTGTTCTCAAATTTGGTCAGAGGGCAGACTATGTAGAAATCATGTAGAAAGCCTGTGGAAATGGTGAGCCATTGTCCTGTTAAAGTTGAAGTAGCCAGACAGAAACTTGTGTCAAGTGATGGTCAGTCACTCAGCACCCTGAGCGACAGGGAACCCACGGCTGCCAGGCCATTCGGTAACGAGTTGGTAACGAGTTTTATGAGGAAGGGAGTAGCTTTCTACTACAGGGGAAACAACTTGCCTTGAGAAGCTGAGCTTGTTTCTTTGGGAACTCCACTCACGGAGGTTTACATCACTCCCAACAATGCAGGTGTCTCTTTGCAGCGCTCAGCCTCAGGAAGGACCAGTTGGAAAGTTCCCAGTGTGGGGTTGGGGTGGGGTGGGGGGTGAGAGGACATGAGCACTAATGTGAAATAGTATACCTTATTCTGGCTGAAGGGAATTTGTGATATTGGAAGCCGAATACTGATTGAGGAAGGAGTTCAGGTGATTGTGGCCTATGGCTAGGAGAAGTCGGCCATGGTACTCTCAGGAGGGAGGTCTCTCCTAACGTCTGACCCTGCTTTCCTATCCCTATCCTACCCAGACGATGGGCCCCCACCTGGGCTCTTCCATGACTGGGTCTTGCTCTGCTCCTCCTGCAGCTGGGAAAGGGCTCCTGGAGGCTGCTCACTTCTGCTACCTCATGGCTCACCTGCCTTTCGGCCACTATCCGGTGAAGACAGATCATCTGGTCTTGCTGGGCAGTAGCCATAGGTATGTGTGACTTCTGTGGGGGGAAAGGGCCTGGAAAGGATGTTTTCTACATGAGGAGAAATGTTCCAGTTTTCATTTTCTTGTGTGAATTTCAGCGACTGCTGGTCTTCTGTACTTGGTTTTCTGTTCAGGTCTCTGGGCGGAATGACCAGTAGTCTCCCATCATACCACCAGGGGGCCTCAGGCCTCAGATCCTGTTCCAGGAGGCAGTAAGCTGGTGCCTTTGGAGGGGGGGTGTATTGTGTGTATTTGGACACTAGGTGGCACCCCAGCTCCACAATGAGAAATTTTCTATTAGGAAATAAAGTTTTGCATGTTGGAGGCGAAGGCCCTGTGTTAGGCAGCCCTGGGCCTTTTCTGGGAGCCTGTCCAAAGCTAGAAAACGAAAGGAGTTATATTCAGTCCATTTTGGGGGGTACCAGAACCTCTACACTGACTCTGCAAGCCCACTTAGTTTCTTTGAGTCACTCACTTACTCTCCTTTGGCCTTGACATCAGACTTTTCACATGGAAAGATATCAACAAGCCCTTAGACAATGGAGGATGGACAAATGGACAGACTCGTTTGGAGTGATTCTCTATGTTTTGCATCTGTCTACCCATTTCTCCCTAATACTTACGATGTGGATCTGGCCAGTTATGCCCTCCCTTCCCTCCTCCTCTCCCTCCCTTACTTCCTTATGGTAAACATTCCCTCTGTTGGAGGGAAACCCAGGAGGCCTGGAGAGGTTGAGAAAGTGGTTTAAGGCAGTAACTGGTGACACACCAGGTTGGGCCTGGAGCCCAGGCTCCCGGAGCCCATCTTGTTAACTGTGATCAAGCTGCCCACCCCCGTAGCCATGGTCCTGGGCACAGAGTGAGCATGTCAGAGAAGCCCTTTTAGGCTAGGGATGACAATAAAGGTGTTTGGGCAAATATGGCTCCCTTCTCATATTTGTGATATAGAAGGACATTTCTGGAGATCATGCCCGAACTCCCTGGAAGATCCCTGTTTATTTTGGGCAGCTCAGGAAGCTGTTGAAGGAATGGGGGGGCTGGGGTGGGGGACGGGGGGGGCACTACATAGTACTCCCGTGCTCTTCCCATCACATTTACCTAGTCTTTTTCCTCCTTGGCTGACTGAATGCTCCACCTGTGAAGACTGCTGTCTGCTTCTTGGCTCAGCTCTCCTCCTCATTCTCTGCCAGGCCATCCTTCCTCAGTGGCCCTGATGGGTCACGTGGATCTTTCTTCTGCTGGGTGCTGTTTCCAGGGCCGGGCAGGCTTTAGGGCACAAAGCCTGGCTCTTACTCTGTGTCAGGGGAGGGCGTGGTCCTGTGCACACCAGCAAAGACAGAAGATGACTTCCTTCCTGTGGGCTCACCTCCTGGCCCAGAGCCCTGCTCTGTCCCTTCTCCAGAGCCTAGCAGAGGTGGGAACCTTTTATTTTCTGTAAAGGGCCAATCGGATATTTATAACATCATTACCTGCCATATAAATTTAGCAATATTAGCAGACAGGCTTTGGGTAGCCAATAAGAAGCACTATGTTGATTTGTCCTATCTTATACCAAATAATTTCTCAGGCCTAAGATTGCCTGCAGGCCAGATGTCCCCACCCATGCAAGAAGAGTGGAGGGCAAAGGTCAAAGAGCCACGTGGAAGCCCTTAGTCTCTTTCCTCTCTTGGAAGTACTTGTGAGAAGCCCAGCAGAGAGCTCCCCTCAAGCTGCAGTTGGTGTGCGCATTCCAGGGCACCCCGTTCCTCCCTCAAGCTCTGTTCTTGTTATTCCCTGGTCTTAGCCAAGAGTTTTTGAAATTTGCCACCACTGAGGCCATACAGAGGACGGAAATCTTCGAGTACTGCCGGATGCTGGGCCGTGCCAAATCCTTCATCCCTGCTTTCCAGGTAACTGAACCCAGAGAGTGCCAGCACCTTGGCTGGGTCAGATGGGTGTGGACATGGGAGAATGGTCAGCTCTGTTATCTACTGCTTTTCCCTTACTAGGGTGAGTGCAGGAAGGTTTGGGGCTGCTTTCCACATGTTAAAGGGCTATATTTTCTGACGTGAAAGCGAAGCCTTGTAGAGATCTCTCTGCTAGAGGCTCAGCCTCACTCCTGACACCTGGAAATCCTGCTGCAGTCCCAGGCCTCCTCCACCACCTACCATCTCTGCCCTGTTCTCCTGGTTGGCTCTTACCAGCAACAGCTCCTCCTGCTCCTCCTCCTCCTCCTCCTCCTCCTCCTCCTCCTCCTCCTGTCCCTGGGGGGCGGAGGATAGGGGAGTATGAGCCCACCCATGGATGCTCGGCCTTCCTTTTTTTTGTTGTTGTTGTTGGTCATGGGGACTGAACTCGGCCCGGGTGCTGTCCCTCAGCTCTTCAGCTCAAGGCTACCACTCTACCACTTGAGCCACAGCACCACCTCTGGCTTTTTCTGCTTATGTGGTGCTGAGGAATCGAACCCAGGGCCTCATGCATGCAAGGCATGCACTCTACCACTGAGCCACCTTCCCAGCTCCTGCTAGGCCCTCCTGCAGGAGACTTCCCGACCTGACCTTGGCCTTCAAGGTCTTGTCCTGCTCTCAGGGCCTCGGCTGGGCAGGTGCACCCATACTTCTCTCTCTTCTTTTTTTCATCTTCATCATCTGTCCCGTTGCTACCTTACATTCATGAGCGATGCTGACATCGTGTTATCCTCCTGTCCGATCCCCAGAGTGCTCCAAGACCTGGCAGCATACAGCCTCCTCTCATCACTTTGTGGGGATGACAAGGATGGCCTTTGGTGATCAGGGCTATGAAAGGGGCCCAGACAATAGAGCCGAGCACTGAGGTAGTTGGTTGCTTTAGCTAGCTACAAAAGTGCCAGCTTTAGAGTGACTGTCCTCTGCTGACACAATTGTGGTCACAGCACTGGCTTCAGGGCCCCGTGGGACATTTCATTCACGCTTCTTCTTTTTCAAGGGCAGATACTTTTTCTCCTTGCTGAAATTATCTTCTTTTGCCACAGACCTTTGTATCGCTTTTACTGCCAGGTAGTCGGCGTGTACACAGTAACAATGCAGCAACGAGAACGCAACACACACATACACACACACACACACACACACCTACCACAAAGCAAACACACCCTTGGGAATGAATTATGATGTATCATCTCTTCTTTGACAGTTCTGTCAACAACTCACTTTTCCGAGGAAAGCCTTGTCTACCGGCTTCGGTCTCTTCCTTCCCTTTTTCCATTTATCCCATTGGTCAGTTATTTTAGTACTACTTTGGGCCGACAGTAATTTTACTGAAACTTTTAGCAGTGTTTTGCATGCTTGGCATTGTGCATTTGTTTTAATCCTGTAAGATAGGTATGGTCACACTCTCCTTTTACGAGTTATAACCTATGGGCTCGCGTCCCCTAATAGCATCCATCCTAAGTACTTCTATGGATGCTCTTAGAAGCTTCACAGAAACCAAGCAGGGGGGTGGTGTCATCATTCCCCATGCTGGGTGAAGAAAGGGGGCGCGTGGAGAGGCAAGGTGAATGGCCCCGTGCTTCACAGCTCAGGTGGAGCTTGCATTTGATCGGGGCTGTCTGACCCCCAAATCCTCAGGCTTGATCTTGCCTTTGTCACTCATGCTTGTATTTGTCATGCTCTTCTGGGCTCTATTTTTGTGTCTTCATATATGACCTGGTGTTTGTTTGGGCTGTGCTATATATAGTCAGGCTCTCTGGGGTGTGGGCTGTTGGATAAGACAGTGAGTAGAGTCTGGGAGGCTCAGCTGATATGGTTCCCATTCTTTTGTCGTTCGCCCCGCCACCATACACAATAGAGGAACTGCAGGCTGGATTTGGAGGTGAGCCCATAAGCAGATAAAATGTCCCAAATGGCACAGGGCCCTTGATATTTGGATTGCCAGAGTTAGCAGAAGCTGGCAGTCAGCTGACTTCCAAGCAGTCTTATCTACATTTCTCTCCGTCTCTATCCCTGCCTGAATGGATTCCTCTCTGGCCCTGTTCCTCCTTACAGGTGTATAAGCTCCTTTATGCATCCCGGCTGGCGGATTACGGCCTAGTGTCCCAGGCCTTGCATTACTGTGAAGCCATCGGTGCAGCCGTCCTGAGCCAGGCGGAGAGCACTCACCCTGTGCTATTAGTGGAGCTCATCAAGGTGAGCATCTCAAAGGCGTTTCTGCAGGTGTTTTATCTTCAGTGTTCAGAGAAAGCCATTGTAGAGCAGCTTAGACTCCACATTTCATCTACTTTGAACATACTGCAAAATTGGAGCCCATGGCTGTCTTTGACCACATATGCATGCCCTAAAGTGATAAGCAGAGGGCCCCCCCCCCAAGCAGGAGGTGGATGGGGAAGGTGGGGGAGGGGCTTCCTGAGAAATTCACTCCTGCATCTGCTTTTCTGATACAGTAGAACTGCATGCTACGGTGAGCTGTTTACATTACCAAAGGGAAGCTTAGAAAATACATTTTAGTGCTTACAACAGGAAATGATCCTTATTAAAATGCTTTTAAATGCATGGAATATTTTATCACATGTGGGATACATTAAAAAAAAAAGGAAAACAAAAACATATCAGCCCTTAGTTCCCCAGGAAGAAAACAACTATCAGGCAAATAGTTGTTCCAATTAATTGAAGAATAATCCATTAGTTAGGAAGTTAAAAAGTCAGTGTGCCCTTAAATTTCTGTTTTTATTTTAGATGAGGCTCAAGTGTTGGATTCAGTGACCAGTAATATCTGTAGGGCTAAGTCCCCTCCACCCCCCATACTCCAAAAATTCTGCCAGCATGAGCTCAGGGCCCCAGGATGGATAGTTAGGAAAGTTTGGGGATACCATAATGAAATAAAGCCTTAAAAAAACAAAGTAGCAGAAACTGGAAGATGTGTTGTCAAGGGGAGGGGAGGAGGAGGGGAGGGAGTAGATGCGGGGCGAGGGGAATGATGGGTGAGCGCAGTCATGGTATTCAGCGTGTGCATTTGAAAATTAAACTAGGAAATCTGAGAAGGGTAGGCAGAGTTGGGAGAGGTGGGGCAGAATAATGGCGCAGCGTGACAGTGACCAAGATGCGTTGGGCTTATCAACAATTCAACATGTTGGATTGAAAGCCCTCTTTACAACTACTTAAGGATAATAAAAAGATAAATTGAAAACATACACAAAGTGGCATCGCTGCCGTCTGGAAGCTTGTTAAGATTGCAGATCTTGGGCTCTGTCCAGAGATCAGGGACCAGAATTAGTGATCCTTGTGGGTACCAAAGTTCAAAAAGCTGCTTCTACAGAGATGGTAACTTTGCAGAGCAAGGAAGTCGAGCAACTGTTTCTGCCCATATTTTGTTTTGTATCTAATCCAGATGGGCTGCTTGTTTATGTATGTCACAATTTTGGGAGCATATCTGCTGAATTTGTTATTTCTCAATTATTGCTTAGCATTGAATTTACAAGTGAGTTATAGCTCTTTCTCCTTTCCCCTTATCCCCTCCCCCCTCGCTCTGTTGTATTTCCATGTCTCTCCTCTTCTCTCTCTCCTTGCCTTCTTTTACTCTCTGAACCTGACCTGTCTGGAAACCCGGTACAGCTCGCAGACAAACTGAAGCTGTCAGATCCTCTGGTTTTAGAAAGACGCCGCGGGGACAGGGAACTGGAGCCAGATTGGCTAGTGCAGCTTAGGAAGCTACACCAGGAGCTAGAGGTGAGGAGAATGGGCCCGGGGTGCTCCCGGGGTGGGCCCTGTGTTTTAGCAAGTGCCCAGGCCCCACTGTGGGCTCTCCCATCACCCTGAGGCGCCGTCTTCCCTGCTGCTGCTGTTGTCCAGTGCAAACCTTTCTCAGGTGTTTGCAGGCGACACAGAGGGGCGCTCTTCCAAATGCTCTTGCGGTTCTCTGAGGACCCAGGGACTGTTTCATGGCCATCAAAGCTTCCCCATCTCGGTTAGGAACAATGGATCACAGCAGACCCGTGTCACTTTCATGTAATGTAGGGCAATTGCTTAAAAGACTTCCGGGCCTGTCCTTTTTGTTCTGACAATTGCAAAATCTGCTGGTCATAATCAGAACAGTAATTGGAGCAGGGCCTCCCTCCATTTTCTTTCTTCTACTCTGCTCTGAAGAAAGGACAAAGTAGACTTTTTAAAAAGCACACAGGGCCGCTTCTCCCTCGGCTGGAGAGGCCTATGGGTTAGTTGCTGCCATTTTGTCCCTCCCTCTGGCAAGGGTGGATGACGCTGACTGTAATAATGACATCCCTGCCTGGGAATGAGGATCCCCTCCATGGGACCCTACTCCACATTTACCTTCCTTTGTCACTCACCCCTAACAGGAAGTTAATTTCAACTATCCCCCCCCCCCGCCTTTGTGTTGCTTAAAAGGATTTTTAATTTATCTTAAATAGCTAAAGGTAGCTGGAGACACTGGTGATCCTCCTCCTGACCACTCAGATGAGTCCGAAGCCAGAAGAACCACCACAGGTACCCAAAATGATCAACTGGCACTTACGATCAAACTGTTGGAGAAAAAATAGTTTAGCCATGTCCTCCTTCCCTTCCCACGGTGTATGTGTATGTCTGACTCCTTAGTCTATGCATCCCTTCCCCAGATACCGCCATCTCCCTGCAGTGTAGTTTTTGCTTCATAGCCTGGGCTTTTAAATACCTGGATATTGTGCACGTTGTGTTGCATTGCTAGTGGTTTTGTAAACTTGTCCCCCGTGGGATTAAGTTTCTTGAGGCTCCAGCTGTTAGGCTATCTGAATCTTTTCCTAGTGTTGTGGACATTAGGAACACTAGGAAACTTAATTAAACACATTCATTGTCAAGGCGATCTACAGAGGGGTTACAGTTACATAAGTCAGGTAGAGGGCACATTTCTTTTTGAACAATGTCCCCCCTTCCCTCGCTCTCTCCTACTTTTCCCCTCCCGTCTCCACCCACAGGTTGTATAATTCATTTTCAACTTGGTGCCGAGTTGGCTTACCCTGGGTCCCTCCATGTACACTGAAGATTGTTTCTCATGATCAATTGCTGTATAGCTGCGAAACCCCTATTTTTCAAAGTGTTTTCACAGTGTCCTTCAGGAGGCCTCTGGCCCGCAGGTGCTGTGTCCCTAGGGAACTCCACACCCTTCCCCCAGTTATGCCCACAGTGGAGGGTCTGCCGGGGCTCTGGCCTCTTCAGTCTTCTGGGCTTCCTTTAGGGAGGGGAAGGATGGAAGAGGAGGCCTGGGTTTCTGAGTTGTGGTTTTGCCAGAGTTAGGCTGGCATCGCTGGATGGTGGTTTCCTCACAGCCCTGACTGCGGCTGCCCAGTGGGGCAGGTAGACTGGCAACCACACCAGTCGTCTGGGCCTGGCTCCTTGGGCTTTGGGCTCCAGGCTAGTGCTCTGCCACTGCTCTACTTCTGGCTTTTTGTTGGTTGGCTGGAGATAAAAGTCTCATGGACTTTCCTGCCCAGGCTGGCTTTGAATCCCAATCCTCACATCTTCGCTTCCTAAGTAGTTAGGATTACAGGTCTGAGCCACTGGTACCAGAAAGGCTTGATGCTTTAAAAGCAAAGCCATTATTTTTAAGGTCTGATTTTTTTTTTTAAGTATTGAGGATTGAACTATGGCCTCATACTTGCTAGGCAGGTGCTCTATCACTTGAGCCTCATCTTTTTTGTTGTAGTTTGTCTTTCAGATAGAGACTCACACTAACTTTCCTGGGGCTAACCTTGGACCATGATCTTTATACTTCCTCCTCTTGAGTAGCTAGTATTACAGGAGTATGCTACCCTGCTGGCTGATTTGGGTTTTAACCGTAAGCTTTTAAAGTTTCAAATATTTAAGTCCACTAGGAAATCCTTAAAGAAGAAACTATTCTCCCCCAAATCACAAGGTGTGGAGTTAAATGGGACAGTAAGTTCTACCCTCCCATTCCATGGATTGAAAGCTCAGAGATTAGCCAAGCACTCGTGGCTCACTTCTGTAATCCTAGCTACTCAGGAGGCTGAGATATGAGGATCTGGATTCAAAGCCAGCCCAGGCAGGAAAGTCTGTGAGACTCTTATCTCCAGTTAACCACCAGAAAACCAGAAGTGGTGCTTTGGCTCAAAGCGGTAGAGTGCTAGCTGTGAGTAAAAAGAGCCCAGGGATACCATCCAGGCCTCATGACTGAAAAAAATTAGAAAAAGCTCAGCGATGATCTAAAGAAGTGAGGGAATAATTCTGAAAGAGGCAGTGAGAGGTGTCACACTCACTCTGGGTGCTGCTCGTCATCTCATACATAGAAGTCAATCAGACAGCTGGTCCTGTCATTACTCTCCAAAGTGGACAAGGCCAGGAGTGTGTCTGGTGTGATTAGTCCTTGAATTGCACGTGTGGGGCCTAACTGCTTCTTCTTTCTCCTTTGTCTTAGATACTTTCTACCAGGATCTTTCGGGACAGCCAGGCTCCTCAGAAGACCCTGGCTACAGCTCAGCCCAGTGGTCAACACCTGAGCAGACAGGCCCCACCCAGCCCAGCCCAAGGCAGCCTGTTTCCCTCCAGCAGGATCCTTACCCAGGGGGAGGCGGTTCAGGGCACCTGGGGGCCTCAGTGCCTCTTTATGCTGTTCCTGAGACTCCCTACTCAGGGATCAGCACTGGCGGTGGCAGCGTGGCAGTAGCAGGAGCTCCTGCAGGAAGGGCTTGGGAGGAAACACTGCATATCCATCCTACCCCTGGTAAGATCTGCCAGCCTATCGGGATACAATGGGGATGGAGTCTTATAGGGAGCTGTAGGTAGAGGAAGGTACAGGGACATGCTGGAGTTGGGGAAGGCATCGATGTGATTGTGTGGTTGAGTCTGCTCCATGTTGGCCTATGTGCTGATGTTTTGCATCTACCTTGCTGTGTGCCAGCCCAGCTATCTCTCTACCTGGGCAAGCAGAGCAGAATGGACACAGCCACTCTGTCCTCTCCTATAGTTTATCATGGAGCGACTTCAGAGTGAGTAAAGATAATCCTGACTGTGCCTCGCATGCACTGTAGTACAGGCCAGGCCATCTTTCTGATCATCTTGCCCCCAGTGGATGACAGTCAGGAACTGTGGCAGGGATGGTGTTTCTGTCCCGGACCACAATTCTTCAGACTCCTCAGATCTCACATAGCTGGGGCTGAATCTGGAGGAGCAGTGCTGAGTGACACCAGGATCCACCTAGGATTGGATCTTAGACCGAAGGAAAGACCCTGAGCAAGAGAGAGACACCCAGGAAGGGCTGAGGATGAGTCCATGGGATCTCGCTCCCTGTTCTTCCCAGACTCCTAAGAAATGACGTTGGTGTTTGAGGTAGAGTTGGGTTGACTGGCATGGCCTGCAGTGGCCGGAAGGGATAGGAGTCAAACAAGCAGGCGCTGCATCTTCTGTGACCTGCTTGTGGTTAAGGCCTCTGGGCTGCAGCCCCTCTGCTTTGTGTCCTTACTACCCTTCTTCAGGATGGGTGGGACAGCACACATCGGGCTTACTCTCTGATTCTCTTTGGTGCTATAGGACACATCACCGCCTCTCAGGACGGCTCCCAGGATGGTCAAAGGGTCATTCCTGAACCTCAGGTGAGAGGAGGAGGCAGGGAGGAGGCCAGGGTCCACGCTGAGCTCCACCACTGCCTCTGGTCTTTCAGCACAGTCTCTTCCTGGCTCTTCCAGTCTCTCCTCCACTGTCATCCCCCTCGCCTTCTCTGAGGGGTCCTGGAAGTTTGGATGGAGGCTCAGTCCCTCCCTGTTGCACCTTGGGCGGAAGGCAGCAGAGCAGGCTGAGTTCTGGGTTCACAGATCTTATTCCTTTAAAGGTGACCTCTTGTCTCTGCTCACCTGATGCTCACACGGTGCCCTGCCCCATTGCTGAAGATGGGCTATTTATGTCTGTATTCTAATTTTTACCTTGCTCTATGATAAGAAAGAGCCTGCTTATGTTTTTTCTCAATTGCAGGCTGTAAGGCGCCAGAGGAGACCATGTATAATCATTCTACCACACTGTTGGCTGAAAGTACCTTTTCCCTCAGCAGTGGGCAGCTTTGATGCCAAACTTAAGTTGCTGTGCGGCTTTGCCTGGTTGGAAGATTATATCAGAAAGCAGTTTCAAGTAGTATTGGGCCACAGGTCTTAAAACATTTCTGTGGGCTTAGTGTTGAGGCTCACTCAAGAGATGGAGATCAGAAGGATCTCAGTTAGAGGTCAGCTTGGACAAAAACTTCATGCGATCCCATTGCAATCAATAATCTGGATGTGTTGGAAATATCTTCCGTCCAGCTATGTGGGAAGAGTATGGTGCGGGCTGTCCTGGGTATAAGTGCAAAATGATTAAAAAATAATGAAAGCATAAAGGCCTGAGGGCATGGCTCATGTGGTGTGAGCGCTGTCTATCAGGTGCCAGGACCCTGAGTTCAAATCCCCAGTACTGCCACAAAACTCTGAGAATTTCAGCTGGTACTGTAGTATATTACTGTTATAGAAAAAGTAAAACATCATATAATGAGCAAAGTAAACATCATTGATAATCCCATAGCTAAATGTTTTAGTTCTTTCCTTCCATTTTTTGCTCTGAATGTGTACATAAATGCACACTTGTTCTTTCAAGTAGTTAAAGTATGGGTCTATAAATTGTATTTGCTACTTAACAGTATGTAAATAAGATTTTCTGTATCATCCCATGTCATTTATGTATAATTCGGAAATATGATTTTTAATATTGGTATGGCAGAATCCATTGTGTATTGACTCAGAGGAGAAATTCTTGGAAGAATCAGAGACCCAGACTGCTATGGTTAAAGCCTTCTCTGCTGTTTGCTAGCTGTGTGGCCTTAGGCAGGTTGCTTAACCTTCCAATGGCATAATTTCCCCATTTTTAAGACTAGTCCTTCCCTCACAGGTCTGTTGTAAAGATTAAGAGCATCACTATACATAAAGGACTTAGAACAGAGCTAAATACTATATTCAGTAGAATAAAATAAGGCTTCCCCCCCCCTGTATTTTGCCAAAGTTGTTCCTGACGTTTGTACCAATTATGCAAGCCGTAAATGGAAATGTGACACAAAAAGAGGATATGTTTTATGATGTTATGCCTGGAATAGGCAACTTCATAGAGACAGAAAGAAAGTGGGTAGAGATTAGAGGTGAGCAGGGGCTGAGGCCAGGTGAAGCCGATCGAGTTGCTCTAGGAGATGATGGTGGCGGGTGCAGATGGGTGTGTTCATTGTGGATGTGTTCAGTGCTGCTGGGCCATTGCTTAGAAGTGGTTAAAGTGATGAGCTTTATGCGTATGTATGTTTTATCCCACCATAGAAAGCTAAATGGAAGGGGTGTGGGGATATGTCCCTCCCCTCCTGTGTATATATTCACATTTGCTCTTGAGTGAATCTCAGGAAATGAGCTCTAAGGTGAGTTAGTTTGCCTGTTTCCCACGTTCCCCTTGTTCTCCTTGTTGCTCTAAGTCCAACTTTGGAGACTAGCTTCTGGAGAGGTCTCATAGTAGACACAATTCCCCAAGTTTAGGGACAGCATGAAGCCTGGGCTTGGGTCCTGCCCTGGTCCCAAGCCTTTGGCAAAATATTTTCCTGGCTGAGTCTTACTCCCTCCTCAGTGAGATAAGGATCCCCTAAGACTATTGTAGATTTACTGAGTGGTCAGGTGACAGGGTGCGTGGAAATGTGCTCTCTTCCCTGCCAAGTGCTCTATAAATGTTCATTCTTTCTTATTTAATCCCAGGCATTGCCAGCCTTCAGAGAACGAAGATATTCTGAGAGTTCCACTGTTTCAGCCAAGGAGAATGAGGAGTCTCCTGATGAAGCAGACAAAAAGACTTCCCAAAATGCTGCACAGAAAGAAAAGCCAGGAGATGTGAAAGAGAATACAAAGGTGGAGGGATTGCTCGTGTCTTTCTACGCTTCTGTCCCCTTCTAGGCCGGTCCTAAATGGTAGAGCAGAATTAGGGACTCTCCTCCTCTCCCCTTCCATCTCATACCGGGGTGGAGCATGCTGAATTTGTCAGTGGCGGAAACAAACGGATGGACCTTCACTTTTTTTTTCCCCCTTCAGAGCTCAGGATTTGGCTGGTTCAGCTGGTTTCGAGGGAAGCCCACCACCAGTGACACCCACTCTGGAGATGAGGACTCATCACACAGCTCAGACTCAGAGGTGTGCTCGGTGGGAGAACAGAGTCCCTTCCCCAGGGGCCAACAGAGGGTGTCTTCAATCACTGTGACTAGTGGTCAGGTCTGAAAGGACCAGGGCTCTGGGAGGCCAAGGGCAGATAATGAAAAGCCTGAACAGGTTCAGTAACAGAAAGACAACCCAGATTTCGGGGCCTAGGAGGAAAGGAAAATGGTGTTTTGGAGAGAGTCTCCAGAGCATGTAGTCTCCAGAGCATGTCTCAGGTGGAGGCCACTGCTGTGGGTGCGGGAACACATGTAGACTGGCATGAACTCATTACCCATGGTACCTACGCCGCCACTCTTCACTAAGCAGGAATCCCTGCAAGTACCATCTGCCCACCCGGCCAGCCTGTCACCCACGCCTCCTCTGGAGTCCCCGCCTCTGCCTGGCACCAGTGCCCTCTCCAGGAGCCTAGGTACTGCCAATCTCAGCTCTTCAGCGCCTCTCTATTCCTCTTATTGTCCATGGGCTAGAGGATGTCTTCTGGAAGATGGAGCTCCTCAGTCCTGAGCAGAGGCAGCAGTGCTAACTCCCTTGCCTTCTAGGTGGAGGGGAAGTCCCAGGATCCGTGTCCAGTGGGGGAGCAGCGAAGGTCACCGGGGCTGGAGACTTCTCAGCACTTGAAGTAAGCAGCCTACAGGCTGGGGCCTAGGCCTCCCAGGAGGGAGGCCCAGACTCTCACTGTGGTTCGGAGATGGGGCCCAGCGTGGGGCTGACTTACAGAAAATAGAGGGAAGGCTTCTGCCTTAGTTTTCTTGGGCTACCATCACAAAGTACCACGGGTGGGAGGACTTAAATAACAGCAGTGTATTTTCTCAAGTTCTGGAGATTAAGGTTCAAGGTCAAAATGTCAGTGGTGTTGTTTCTTCTGAGGCCTTTCTCTCTCTGGCTTGTAGATGCTGACTTTCTCCCCATTATGTCTTTAGCTGGTCTCTCATTACAGTGTTTCCTTCTGGTTTAAGGACAACAGTCATGTTAAGTTAGCGACCCATTTAGAGTTAGGCTTCTTTAAGTTTAGGGTTGAACCTTAGGAAGTTTTGGAGGGATAAGGTTCATCCCATCCAGCCACTTTAGGTGAATTTAGGGCGCCGCCTCCTTCTCTGACCCCGCGGGAGCTGGAGTTTAACTGGCTGCCTTGTCTAGGGCTCTAACACGTTCTTCACAGTGTCCACAAGTTACCAGTGGATCTCATGTCTTGCCACGGAAGCATTTGTATTTCTTGAAGTCTGGTTGGAGCACTCTCGTAGTATTTTAGGCCTTCTGAAGAATGGGAAATTGCTTCTAATGATGGCACCAATATATTTTACTGCGGCTTTTCCTTCTTACTTGCTTTCAGGTGTGGCAGCATCCAAGTCTGCTTTGCCACCCCAAACCCAGGTGTTGGTGGTTGTACATACTTGAGCCATATTGGGTTGCTGCAGATGGATTTCCTGGGTCTTAGAAGAAACTCTTTCATCCACTTCTCTTGACCAAAATTCATGCTTTGGGAAGACTTCCTATTCCTGGAAGTTGCCGTTAATCAGACTTTCTATTATGTTCCATCTTAGGGTGTTTCCTCTGAGCTCTCCTCCAGACCTGGCATTCTGCTTCCTCCACCCACCTTGCAAGGGGCGGTTCCTCTCTACAACCCGGCTCAGGTCTCACAGGTAAGGAAAGACACCCTTGAGGGAAGAGGATGGAAGGCAAGTTGTGAAGTAAGGAGACTGAGTTTGTAGTTCCAGTTTACCAGTTACTCTAGATGAATTCCCGAGTAATTATCTAACCTTGCTAAGTATTTTATAACACAGATACACATACAAAGTGTCTGGCACCCAGACATTTTGATAGGTGTCTCCATAAGCTCAATAATGCTTAGTGCTCAATAAGCTTGGAGTAGTGGCTTCAACTAGATAATTGGGTGTGTGTGTGTGGGGGGGAGCAGAGTATAGGGATGATGACTCAAGACCAGCCTGGGCATAAAAGTTCTTCAAGATTCCATCTCACCCAATGGCTTGTGAAGTGGCTCATGCATGTCTTTGTAAGTCACAGGAAGGCACAAGGCTTTGTGCAGAAGCATGAATCTGTCATCCCAGCCACAAAGGGAGGCACAAATAAGAGCCAGGCCAGGCCAGAGATGGAGAGACCCTAATTTTGCAAAGAACCAATCCAAGAGTGGATTGACAGAACAGTTCAGAGCAATAGCATGCCTGCCTAGCAAGTGTAAGGCCCTGAACTCAACCCCCAACATTTGTGTGTTTTTTTTTAAGCAAAGAAGGAAAAGAAAAAGCTCAATAAATAATATTCCTCTCATTAGAATATTATTAGTGTTGTGGTATGATTTCCTCCTCCCTCTGTCTTAGGATGAGGGGATTACTACAAACCTGAAGAAAAGCCAACCTCCACACTCCTCAGCCACCGGGAACAGACTTAGCTCAGCTGATTAATGCCTGTTGTTTTCCCCTCTTTATAAAATCAGACAGCTTCTAGCCAGATTCAGCAGGTGAAAGCGAACCATTAAGAATGCAATGTTAAGAAGCCATCTGTAGCTGATGTGTTCTAGACTGACACTTGGGATGCTCTCCCTCAGTCTAGCTGGCCATCCCTGAGCAGTGGCGTGCTTGGGTCTGTCCACTCCAGCATCGTGTCTGTTTTCTTCCAGCTCTCCCACACCACCAGCCTGAATCGGCCCAACCGCCTGGCTCAGCGCCGCTATCCAACCCAGCCATGCTGAGAACGACCACCTGGCCCAGGCTTGTCTCTGGGGAGCACCACTTATATGTCACTGTAATTTTTCTCAATTTCCCATCCTCTTGGCTGTGGGTTGTGCAGGACTGCTGGACACGTAGAAGGCAAGGAGATAGGACTGCTTAAAAACAGCTCAGTCTAGACCTCAATTTAGCTAGCTCCAAAGGATGGAAATGATTTCATCAGGTGGGAAATCTGGGTGTAATGGGCAGCGAGTCACAGCGGCAGCATTTGAGATGGAGGGGAAGGCCTTTAGGATCTCAGGGCTAGAATGAGGGGTAATTCCATGAGGAATAGCATCCCGGGCTCAGAGCCACATTCCAGCTTAACTTTGACTCTTTCCTCAGCTTCACTTATAGACGAATACATAGCTCTAGTTAGCAAAGATTTTTACCCCGAGACTTGATGATTATTGCCCTTCAATGATTCCTTCTTCAATGACATTCCACCGATTTTTCCTTCTGGTCCTAGTTTGATGCACATTCTCGATGTGGTTCAGATTAATTATATTTCTCTCACTTTCTTAGCTAGTCCTATTTTTTTTCTCATTCTGGCATCTGGCTATCAAGTTAGATTGCTGTAGGCATCATATTGTCATGGTAACTACTGCACCTAATGATGCAGATGGATGGAACATCAGTATAATAAATGATGGAAAAAGCATTCCCTAAAAATTCCTCCTTTCCATAAGAGGGAAGGAATGAGTGCCTGATATTGTTAAATACCTCTCTTCCTACCTCAGGCCTTTGCAAATTGATGTTCAGTGGGTCACAGGGGTCTGAATAGGAGGGGGAGGGATATCTTGAAAATTTCCATCTCTCCTTTCAAACCCAAAATAGGAATGATTCTTGCTGTTTGTCAGATTTGCTGAAATTGCTCCTCACAAAGAACATTTTTTTTGTATGTGTAATTGTACATAAAGGTTTTGTACTTTAATGTACTATGGTTCTGATTTTCATAGCGATTAAACCTAGATAATTTTGTAGCAAATGCTGTCTTGGGCTGATTTTTTCCTTTTTTCTTTTCTTCTTCTTTTTTCTTTTGATCATCTCTTTCCTGAAGTCTTTCTAATAATGGTTGCATTGTGTGACCAGGTGTGAACAGCTAGGAAGAGCCCTTTTTTAATGAAAAATCAGGGACCACTCCTCTTCACTTCCAAGTTACTCTAATGTTATCATTTTTCCAATTTAAAAGATTGTCCATATTAAATTGTCCATATTTAAAATTGCCCATATTTAAAAAATATGGAAAAAAGCTATATGGACAAAAACCAGTCATTTCACTAACTGTTGCACATATTCTGTGGCCTGAAAAGTTTTATTTCATGTCTTAGATTAAATCTTAAAGTGTTTATACACAAGTGTTTTGTACCCAGAAGGGTTTCAGTAAATCAAATTCCCTTTTCTTCCTTGAGAAGCTGCTGCCCCTTGCGTTTGGCATGCTGACCCCCAGCGGTGGTACTGTAACGTTAGCCAATGAGTTTCCCAGGACCCAAACTGTCTAGACTTGAAGCCCACTCATGAGCACTTTACCCTGGGGCCTTGTGTAAGGTTACTTCACCATCCTGGGGTTTAGTTTCCTCATCTATAATGATAGTAAGAACATCTACATTATAGGGATATTGGAAGAATGAATGAGTTACCTAGGGAAGTGCTAAGAACTTCTGAGGTGTGTTCAATGCCTAGCGTGCAATCTAAAAGTAAAATCTCCACTTTTTGGGTTTTCTTTGCTTACCTGGTTTAACTATGAATTTGCAATTTTTGACACACACACACACACACACACACACATATATATATCTAAAACTGGAATAATAATATAAAAATCTGTCATGAGATCTATCTTAATGGCTAAGCCCGTTTCTCCTCCTGTATCCCATCTGCCACCAGTTCTAGATGATGATGAAGCATAATAGTTCCTCTGGGAGCAAAGTCACAGGGAATTCTACCAATCAAAAGGAGCACTTCTGCCAAAGAGAATGAAGACCAAAGAAGAAGGCAAAAACCTGGGCTGCTTGTTTGGTTTACTTTCTCCCCTTGTTAGGATTACTGCTGGAGAATCCAGGACTACACAGCAAGCCTTCCACACAGCAAGCATCCAGCTTGCTAACTTTTCTGCAACAAAACACAGCAGGAGGGAGATACAGGTGTTTTATACGCTGGAAGGGGAGGAGGTTCATGGTCCCTATGCTAATTCATGATGGAAAGGTTTTACTCTTGTCCTGGTCAGAATGTGTCTATGAATCTGTACATGCTTGATTAAAATAAATACTCTTGCCCATTGGTTAGGAAAGTTAGGTTCCATAAGGTTCTGAACTGAGGTCATTCAAATTTCTTTGTTTATCAGCTTTGGCAGGGTAGCGGGGACTGTGTTGTTAAAGGTCATGGTTGTTTTACAGCTCCAGCTGGTTAAAACTAGTTGTGGTGAAACAGCAAATGTAGCTGTAAAAGAAAACTGTTTTTCCCTTCCTTTTCTAAAGTGGAAGCTTGGGGAATAGAACAAGAATGGAAACATACTAGGGTTAGAGGCCTCTTCCCTCTTCCATAGCCTGGGAGAGGCTGCAAGATGTAAGGAGAAGCTGCTTCTGGCTTGGCAACGTGTCCACAGCAGCTGGGGATGGTCAGGTCCATCATCTGAGGCAAAACCTGTTTCCCTGTGGCCTGGTACAGTGTGGACTCCAGAAAGAGATACTGGCCCAGTGGCCCAGAAGGCCAGTTGTGTCTCACAGTGATACCCCAGAAGACAACAGGAGAGATCTTCACAAGGTAACAGAATACACTGTGGAGTTTGTTTCCATGAACCAACTCTTTAAGTAATGACCCAATGGACACTGTTTGAAAGGAAAGAATTGCTGGGCACCAGTGGTTCATGCCTGTACTCCTGCTAGTCAGGAAGCTGAGTGAGATCTGAGGATTATGGTTCCAAGCCAGCCCAGACAGAAAAGTCTGTGAGACACTTATTGCCAGTAATCTACTCAGGAAAGGCCGGCAGTGATGCTGTGGCTCAAGTGGTAGAGTGCTAGCCTTGAGCACAAAGAAGCTCAGGGACAGAACCCAGACCCTGAGTTCAAACTCCAGGACTGGTAAAACAAACCGAACCAAACCAAACCAACCAACAAAAACTCCACAAAAGAACCTAGGGCTAGGGATGTAGCTTTTTGTTGTAGATCACTTGCTTAGCAGGCTTGAGGCCTTTAGTTCAATTCCCAGTACCACAAAACCCAACAACAAAAAGGAAGCATGTGAGGTGCTCTTCACGGGCAAATTTGCTGGGTATCTCTGCTTCTCCATAGCGTACAAGCTTGCAGGAAGAATTCATCAATGATGAGAAATAAAGAAGCCACATTTTCCTTGCAAAACAGAGTGGCAATATGCAAATGTGCAATTCTGCTATATACATATAATTTAATATTTATATGAAAACATTTAAACTTAATGTTCAATAATTTGAAAGAGAATAAACCATTAAATTCCACTTAAGTGTCTTTATCACATATCACCATTCCAGCCCTCTGTCTAATCCCCTTAAGCGGCTGTAAAACTGTGAATGAGCTTTATGCCTCAGTCAGCTACACACTCTCTCTTCAGCCCTGGCTCAAGCTTCAGGTTGTGCAGGATCAAAACCTCTGCTAGCTGTTTTCCCCTCTAGAAAGCTGCTTTCTTTTGGGCCTCTTTCTCTAGGCAACCAACACGCAGAGCAATAAACTACATTTACTTCTTTGCTAAAACCAGAAAGAATCCTTTCTATCCAAGAGGGAATATACAAACCAAACCACTCTTTCTGTTTGAAAAGAATAGGTGTGCAATTTGGGTCTCTCCACTTCCATCCGTTTTTCTTTCTATCCCTGAGAGAGGGTTTTCTTTTTTGCTTTTGGTGGTCCTGGGGTTTGGACTCAGGGCCCAATTCTTGCTAGACAAGCACCTCACTACTTAAGTCATGCCCTAGCCTGATTGGCTTTAATTATTTTTCAGATAGTGTCTCATATTTTTGCCTTGCTTGGCTTGGGACTGAGCTTATTACCTATATACTTCGGCATAGCTGCGTTAAGAGGTGTGTCCTGCTTTGCCAGGATTATTAGTTGAGATGGTGGGCTTGGTAACATTTTACCTCAGGTGGCCTTGAACCTTGGTCCTCTCAAGAAATGGCCTGCCAAATATCTGGGATTTTTTGGGGGGTGGGTGGGTCGTGGGGCCTGAACTCTGGACCTTGGTGCTGGCGCTCTACCACTTGAGCCATAGCGCCACTTTTGGCTTTTTCTGCTTATATGGGGCTGAGGAATCGAAACCCAGGGCCTCATGCATTCAACGCAAGCACTGTACCACTGAGCCACCTTCCCAGCCCCTATCTGGGATTATTGACAGGAACCACCACACTACTGGAAGTGACTTTTTTTTTTTTTTACCTCCCCCTACCTTTTCCATCTTAAGCTGGGAGTTGAACATACAGTGGTATGATCTGTAAGCCATAGCAATAGGAGAGAGGTACTTATTCATCCAAGGTGACACCTAAATGTGACCTCAATGTCTGCCTGCCTTCCTAATGTGCTTACATGGGGCCATTGCCCCTTCCAGTCTTTCAGAAATGGCTTCCTAACAAGATTTAAAGTTACACTGAATGAAGATTAATCGTATGTTGAAATGTTTTCATCATGTTTTCACCAAGTGGAGGAACCTGCTTCCCCTGTTCCCTCCTTTTGTATATTCATGTCTCCAAGGTAATAGTACTTCACAGGATGAAGCTCAACAAGAGTGTTTAACTGGAGGTGGCCCGTGGAAACTGCTTACTGTTTTAACATGACATGCTTCCAGGCTCCTAGTCATCTTAGAGAGAATCTCTTCAATTTTTTTTTAATGAATATTAAGAAGAAAGGATTCCATGGCTTTTCTTGAGGCATTCAGCCTTGGATTATGTATCCTTAAACATAAGGAAGTGATTCCTAATACTTTACACAAAAATACTTCACACGTGGCTCTTTAAAACTCTCCGCTGGTCCCCAGTAGAGATGGGAAACAGCTGCTTAGCAGCTGTGCCCAGAACCCTGCCAGAGTTTGGAAGGCCTCAGTCCTTTCATAAAACAAAAGGGCCTTCTCCTCACTACATTGTGGATCTTTTGGGGACTCTTTTGGTCCTGGCCAGACCATTCTGAATTTTGATAATAGTAACACCCATGGAAGAGTCTTCCAGGCACTGCAGAGCATACATTGTCTGAGATACACAGCATTATTCCAGCACACACGGTGTATGAAGAATCAAAACCTAAGGAG